GGTACACAGTTTGTTCCATTTATCTCCCCCCGAGTGTCCCGCTCTCTCTTCCTGATTTGAAACACCTCCTGGACTCCTTGCCGGAGCCTGTGCTCCTGCTGGGTGACTTCAATTGTCGTCATTCTCTTTGGGGTGACGTTCTGACGAATACCCGGGGTCGCCTCCTTGAGCCGTTTCTCCTCTCTTCTTCCCTGTCTCTTCTGAATTCTGGTGAGCCCACTCATTTGGACTCTCGGACTCGCACCCTTTCTTGTCTTGATCTTTCTCTCTGCTCTTCTTCTCTTTACTTAGATTTCACGTGGCAGGTTCTTGATGACCTCCATGGAAGTGATCATTTCCCCATCCTTGTTTCCTTTTTCTCTTTTCGCCCTTCCCTCTCTTTCCCTAGGTGGCAGTTTGCTAAGGCAGACTGGACCCTATTTACCCTCAGTGCTGCTCTCCCTGACCTCTCCCTTCTGCCTCTCTCTCGCGCTCTCCTCCTTTTTCATGACACTGTCTTCAACGCTGCCCTCCGCTCTATTCCTCGCTCTTCCTCTCGGGGTCCACGGAAGTGCGTTCCCTGGTGGAATGCGGACTGTGCTCGGGCTGTCCGCTGTAAGCGTGCAGCCTGGAAGAGGCACCGCCGTAGGCAGACGACCGATTCTTTTCTTTTCTTTCGGAAAGCGAGTGCGGTGGCCCGTAGGGCCATCCGTACGGCTAAACGTGAATGTTGGGCATCTTATGTCTCAACAATTACGTCCGAGACCCCTCTGGCCCAGATCTGGAAGCGTATCCGCAAGATAGCGGGTAAGTTCGTTCCCGATGTTTCACCGGTCCTTCACCTCCATGATACTCTTGTGGCGGACCCGTTGCAGGTCGCTTCCGAACTGGGTTCCCATTTTTCTTCTGTTAGCTCTGGTCTTCATCTTCCCCAATCTTTCCTTCTTCGTAAACCTGTCCTTGAGTCTCGTCCTTTAGATTTCTGCACTCATCTTCAGCTTCCCTATAATGATCCCTTCTCTCTCTCTGAACTTCGTTCTGCCCTGGCCCTCTGCGGTTCTACGGCGGCGGGCTCCGATGGTATTCATTATGAGATGCTTCGCCATCTCCCTCCGAGCACGTCTCAGTATTTACTGAGTCTGTATAATCGGATCTGGGAGTCGTCGTCAGTCCCTGAGGACTGGCTCGATGCCGTTGTCCTCCCTGTTCGCAAACCGGGGTCTCTGGGTACTTCCCCTAAGGACTTTCGCCCTATTGCTCTCACAAGTTGTGTCTGCAAACTCTTTGAACGTATGGTTAACGTTCGTCTGATGTGGTTCCTGGAACACCATCACCTCCTCTCCCCTTCTCAATTTGGTTTCCGCAAGTGCCGCAGCACGACAGATGTCCTGGTGAACTTGGAGGTCTATATTCGTACTGCTTTTGCTGCGAAGACCTCCGTTGTTGCCGTCCTTTTTGACCTAGAAAAGGCTTACGACACCACTTGGCGTTATCATATCCTATCTCAACTTCATTCTTTTGGCCTTCGTGGTCATCTCCCTCTCTTTCTCCGCAGCTTCCTCTCTCGTCGTTCCTTTCGGGTGCGCCTTGGTACCGCTCTCTCTCCCTCTTTTCAGCAATACGAAGGTGTGCCCCAGGGTAGTGTTCTGAGCACTACTCTTTTTCTTGTTGCCCTCAATGGTCTTCTTTCCTCTCTTCCTTCTGGTGTCTTCTCCGCTCTCTATGTCGATGATCTTACCCTTTGTTGTCAGGGTGATGATTCGCCTCTCCTTCAACGCCGGCTTCAACTTGCAATTGATGCCGTGTCGTCTTGGGCCACAGGTCATGGCTTCAAGTTCTCTACTTCTAAGACTTGTGCCATGACTTTTACGCGGAAACGGGTTGTTCTTCGTCCCTCTTTGTCACTTTATGGTCATCCCCTTGAATACAAAGATTCCGCGAAGCTTTTGGGGTTATTCCTTGACACTCGTTTGTCTTGGTCTCCCCATATCTCTTACCTCCGTGTTGAGTGCTCTAAGGCCCTTACCCTCCTTCGGGTCTTGTCCCATACTTCTTGGGGGGCAGATAGGCGCACTCTCCTTGCTTTACATTCCTCTCTCGTCCTGTCTAAGCTCGATTATGGTTGCCCTGCTTACTCGTCTGCTTCTCCTTCTACTCTTCGCCGTCTTGATGCTTTGCACCATACTGGGTTGCGCCTCAGTTCTGGTGCCTTTCGTTCGACTCCCATCCTTAGCTTGTATGTTGACACTGGCTTCCTGTCTCTCCAGGACCGCCGTGATCGCTACTGTCTTCGCTATCTTGCGCGGTCCTTGCAACATCCTTCCTCTCGCCTCTGTCGTGCTTTAACTTTTACCCCTCCTGCGGTTCCTGTTCCTCTTCACCACCTCCCTCTTTCTGTCCGGTTATCTCGCCTACAGGATTCTCTCTCCGTTCGTATTTCTGATGTTTCTCCTCGTGTTGTTCCTTCTTTGCCCCCGTGGAGGGTCCCTCTTCCGCGGTTTTGTACTTCCTTGACCCGTATCACTAAAGCTTTTACCCCTCCTACGGTTCTAAAACGCCTTTTCCTCGAGCACTTTTCTTCTCACTCCCGCTCCGTTTCTGTCTTCACCGATGGGTCTAAGTCAGCAGACGGTGTTGGCTACTCTGTTGTTTTTCCTGATCGCACTTATATGTGTCGCTTGCCTCCGGAGACTAGCATCTTTACAGCAGAACTTTATGCTATTCTCTATGCTCTTCGTCTCCTGCTTTCTCGTTGTCAGTCTTCCTTTGTGGTTGTTGTTGACTCTCGTAGTGCCCTCATGGCTCTCGGGTCCTTTAATCCGGTTCATCCAGTAGTTGTCGAGATCCAGCATTGGCTGTTTCTCGTTCACAGTAAATTTAAGTCGGTTGAGTTTTGTTGGGTTCCCAGCCATATTGGTGTGTCTTTAAATGAGCGTGCGGATGCTGCCGCTAAGGAAGCTGTCCGCTCTTGTCCCATCTCTCGTAAAGGCATTCCGTATTCCGACTTTTACCCAGTTATCCATTCCTCAGTTCTTACCCGTTGGCAGGCTTCTTGGTTGTCTGTTACTGGTAACAAGCTACGTACTCTTAAATGTTGTGTTTCCTCGTGGCCGTCCTCCTTCCACCGTAACCGGCGGTGGGAAACAGCTCTGGCGAGGTTGCGTATTGGCCATACTCGCTTAACCCATGGTCACTTGATGGAGCGCCGCCCTGCTCCTTATTGTCCTAGTTGCATTGTCCCTCTTACGGTCGTGCATGTCCTTCTTGAATGTCCTGACTTCCAGGACGAGCGTGTGTCTTGCTTTCCGACCGCCCCTCGCGGTCACCTGTCCCTCGATAGAATTCTTGGTGACTCGGATACTTTTGATATCGTTCGCCTTATGCGTTTTTGTTCTCGTATTGGCATCCTTGGTGATATTTAGCGCCCTCTGATTATTTTGCGTATTTGATGGTGCTACATAGCCTTCCCGGTTTGGTGCCTTCTTTTGATAATTACTTACTTACTTACTTCCCATCCTTCTCCATCTCGTATGTGAAACGCAACACAGAATTCCGCTCAAATGCCTCCTTCAGCTCCTGCAGATGTCTGACATCAGGTACCTGTGTAAAAATGTCGTCAACATACCTGCAGTATATGGCCGGTTTCAAGTTCATGTCGACTAAGACCTTTTGTTCGATGGTACCCATGTAGAAGTTCGCAAACAGGGCACCTAGGGGAGAACCCATGGCGACCCCATCTACTTGCTTATGTATACCATAGTTCAGTCATTCCCTTGACTTTTAAATATCAACATTAATTCAGAATTTGAGTCACCACACAAGAATTGAGAGCAACTACAGCTAACAGCCCCTGGAAAATTACACAACATATAACTTTGGGAAAAACAAAATACATCAACCTTACAATTCAATTTGCCCCAAAGTCTTTGAGTAAGTTAGCTAGAGAGGAGGAGAAGGGGGGTGGTATGGCTGACAGTTAAAAGTCCCCTGCCAGCCTGGAACAGGCCTGTGTTGACCTGGCCCGATACTACTGGAACCTCTCTGATGTAGCGAGGCGTAACCCCCCCCCCAATTGCTTGGGTATTCCAGGGGGAACTGGCAGCTAAACTCTGCCTACGAGGAGATAGCCTCTAGCTATTTTCCTACCACATCTAGACAACGGCTTGTTTGATCGAAAGAACAAGGCAAAACATCTGCAGTTAACAGCTTAGCAGAGACAAGGTCACTTAAGCTGACTTGACCTCTGCTAGACATGTGAACATTGACACACTGAAGATGTGAATTTGTAAAGTCCCAGAGCTAGACAGACTGCCGCCACCCCATATCCTGTGTGAAATGATTCTTATTGTATGTGAAATATTAGATACAACCATTTATGGTGTTAGAGGAGAAAAAGGGGAAGAGAGTCAGAAAAATGAGAGGGAGGCAGTCATAGAGAATAGAAGGGGGGAGAGAGAGGCTGAAGGAATTAGAGGGAAAATGGAGAGAGGCACAGAGAATGGAAGGGATTAAGAGAGGCAGAAGAAATGAGAGGGAGAGGGAGAAAGTCAGACAGACAGACAGAGACCTGGGCACGGCCAGGTAGCTCATCTAGTTGACAATAAATTAAAGTACTAATGATATGGAATATTTTTAATAGCTCATTATCAAAACTATTAATAATTGCCATGTAGCAAATGGGAAAATAAAATGTTGATTAATATCAGCATTTTAATTATTGAAAGCTTAAAGGTTGATAAATTGACTTAGCTTCTTTCTTCAGAGTGTATTATTCTTGTGGAAAGGTATTTTATTGCAGGTAATTTCCATCAAATAATAGACCTCAATTCCTAATTAAAATTTGTTTGAATATAAAGTTAATTCATTGCTATAACTTTTTAAGAAGCAGCTTTATATGAACAGTCTCTATTAGATTACGGTGCTCTTTTCAGCATGTTAAGGGGGCACCGTGAACAAAATTAAAATTGTTGCCATCATTTATATTGTTCATGTAACAATGTATTCAACTTTCTGTTCATCAGCAGGTCGTGAAAGGGTCAACTCTGATCACTTGCGTCATGTGACCAAAGCTGACCTGTGGCAGCTGTGGCAGGACTCTGAGAAAGAACTTCGGGCTCGACTCCGTCAAGCCGAGTCCCAGCGAGATGCTCTCCTCCGTCAGCTCTCAACACTGCCACATCGAAAGCACCAAGTCCAACCAGAGGTACCGAGTGAAAAGTGGGTGAAAAGGTCCCTTGGAAACATGGTAGGAGACACCGCCGTGGGTGCTATCGAGCTCTGTGATTCCAGGAAACACAACCTTATTGTTGGGGACACCAGATTGGCCATTGGTGGGGGTAGATGGGGAGAAGAGAAGAACAATGGACACAGACAGAGGTTGTCGAGAATGAATAACAGGGAGAGAAAAATGGAAGAGGTGAGACTAAAAACTAACAAGGGAGATGTGTCAACTACCCCGAAGAGGAGAAAGCGACAGAGGTCAAGGTCACAAGATCATCTGGATACTAAGAAAAGTCAGGACTCCTCGGAGGAAGGGATACATTATCCTAGTCCTGAAGAGCGTTTAAGTTACCCAAAATACACAAGAAGAAGAAAAAGAGAAACTAGCCAAGATCGCAAAAGAGGTTCAGATGATCTAGATGTCACCCCAAAACACAGAGCGAAAACTCACCATCTAAGTGGTACTGTGATAGAAAGAACCGGTCCAGCGGAATCCATAAGTGGGTACTGCACTACACCTCTTCCTCTTCTTCACTCTCTGCATCAACATACTAAAAGTGATGTAGAAAGGAGTTATGGTTCCCATAAATCAATATCTCTAGACAGAAGGGAAGAGAGAATACCATTCGAAAGTTATAGTGAGCAAATACACATACAGAGCTATTGCAGTGGTGATAGTAGAGGAATAGGTTGTGATGATGACATGCGTCTAGATGATCACTGTGATGAGGCAGACTGTCACAAGAAGCTGGAAGATGATAAGTTGCCACCTAGAAGAAGGCGAACACCTTATCATTTAGTGAGTGGGTACACAGAAAGCCAACACCGAAGACCAAAGGAAAGGCACTCATCGCGAGAGCTGCCGGAAGGGAGACTCAGGTGAGATTCGGCTTGGCAGACAGATGTGTAGCAGTTGAGATTGTTCTAGTGTTATGCCAGGAATAATTGCAGCCCCTTCTCAGGAAGCCACAGGCAGCACGGGGCCAGGAGTTGAACCGCACATGACAGCTCGTCCAAAAAGAAAGACTGCGATTCCACAACAACAGCAAGTTCAAAATCTGTGCCATCGCAGAAGATTTATTAGCCAATTTTGATGCAGATCAAATGAATATGAGAAAGGGAAATAATTGAAGGAGTTGACTGAACATACTTGATCTCCAGGCCACAATTGAGAGTGTAATCTGTAATGCTTTCCTCGTTTCCCTCTCTCACACACACACGTCGCTGACAAAAAATCCCATGTCAAAAACACTCATCCTTTTCTCAGCATTTCTCTCCATTGACCATCTTGTTTCCTGTTAAGACTTCAAGAAGTAAAAGCAAGCATTCTTGTTTCCTAAACTATTAACGTTGTATTCTAGTTCATAATTTTGCTTCCAGTCTAGCAACATTTTTCTGCCATAATATATAATTGTCCATGTGTACATACATATTGGGAATAAAATGCGCTTACTTTCAACCAATTTGATTTTGTGCTTTTTAGGCTATATTATTATTTAAGTACAGTACATGGAAGACTTTATCGCCCATGTGACAAACTTTCTTGTGAACATTGTCATGCTTATGTAAAGCCTCACAAGTGGTCACACACTCTTCATTTTCTTCACTTTTGAGATATAAAACTATGTATTTACCATTCAATCTTTCTCTTGAGGTAATAATTTTAGGAATCTTAATTTAACCCTTTAACCCTTAAACTGCGCAACGCGCCTGCAGGCCCACGTCTGGTTTGCGCAAAGCGCCTCCGGGTATTTTTATTTTTCACGTTCCATTCAAAACTCCCGTGGCTATGTGGGGTTCACATCAGCTTCCTCAGGGCTCTTGTAAACAGACGCCATCTTTAAAAAAAATCGTGGTCCACATTCCCGGGTGTTCGAGCCTCAGTAGTGAGTGAGCAACCAAGGCCGGCGCACGCAGTATGAGCGCACAGCACTGCTGTTCAGCGTGTGACCACAGCATCGCCTAATAATGTCAAAATATATATATATAATCTGTATTATTTAGCCATGATAGTATTATAGAAGAGCCTGAGTGTGATAATGACTGGGAACAATGTTCAAATATCATTGATTCAATGCTGTTCACGATGTTCACAGCGCTAGTCACAGCATTATTTCGTCCATCTAGGAATCTTCAAATGACTTCTTAGGTTCCTTTTCGAAATAAACGTGTGGTCAATTGTTCATTTACAGGAATTAGTGACCAGGATTGTGGTTATAATTAGCATTGTGTGTAGTATTGTGGAAGGAGGAATTTTGGTGAGGGAGGGAGAGAATTGAGGTAGCCTCCACTGTGTGTGGGAGCCACTCTTGTTTTGCTCACCATTCTAGCTTAGTGGTTCACTATGGGGAACACATATGTACATGGGTATATACAGTGTGTGTATATAGTATAATAACAGCAACAAGAGTATGTTGGGAGGAGCTATTTTTGTGAGGGAGGTGACGTCGTAATCGTAGCGTTGTCTGCTGTGTGATTTCTCATGCAGTGTATGGTAGCAACTGTACTGTTTGGACACAATACCAGCTTACTTGCATAGTTCTGGTTAATAAAACATGTAGATAGGTATACATAACATAAGTAAGTAGTGTAATATAAACAGTAAGAGTATGGTGGGAGGAGGGATGATGGCGAGTACGATGTTGGAGGAGAGAGGGAGGACTGGCTGGTTGGGTGTGGCAGCTCACACTCGCGGAGTTCTGAGTGTGTTTATGGTGTGTGACAGTGTAGTGTGTGTAAATGTACATAAATGAACCCGAAACATTGGTGTGAATAACACTATGGTGGGAGGGGTGATGGCAAGTACGATGTTGGAGGAGAGAGGGAGGACTGGTTGGCTGGGTGTGGCAGCTCACACTCGCGGAGTTCTGAGTGTGTTTATGGTGTGTGACAGTGTAGTGTGTGTAAATGTGTTGTAAATGTACATAAATGAACCCGAAACATTGGTGTGAATAACAGTATGGTGGGAGGAGGGGTGATGATGAGTACGATGTTGGAGGAGAGAGGGAGGACTGGCTGGCTGGGTGTGGCTGCTCACACTCGAGGAGTTGTGTGTGTTGATGGTGAATGTATATACTGTGTGACAGTGTATAGTGTGTAAATAGATTGTATATATACATTAATTAGCATGATACATGGTAAATATGTGCAACATACGTGTACACAAGTGTCTTGGACATAACACAGTGTCTTCGGACAGTACGGATGTTTTATTGACACAATATAGTGTACGTGTCCATTATACATAGGATTAGCACATAAAAACAAATAAAATGTATTTGGAACTGTGCGCAAAAAATGAACAAAAATATATTTGCGGCAACTCGCGCACCCCGCCCCGGGCGCCCTACTGGCCCCCGGAGCAGACATCACGGAGGAATGGGGAATGATGACGTCATGCCCCAACTTACGTACCCCATAGCAGCCAAAGTAAGTACAATTTCGATTGTTTTTTACATACCCATACTCAGGGAAGGGTTTTTGTTTATTTCCTGCGCACTGCGGGGGTGTCATATTTGGAGGCAATGCAGTTAAGAGGTTAACTGCGCAACGCGCCTGCAGGCTCAGGCTTCGGGTGTTTTTATTTTTCACATTCCATTCAAAACTCCCGTGGATACATGGGGGTCACATCAGCTTCCTCAGGGCTCTTGTAAACAGATGCCATCTAAAAAAAATCATGGTCCACATTATCGGGTGTCAGAGCCTCAGTAGTGAGTGAACAACCAAGGCTGGCGCTTGCAGCATGAGCGCACAGCTCTGCTGTTCAGCGTGTGACCACAGCATCGCCTAATAATGTCAAAATATATATATAACCTGTATTATTTAGCCATGACAGTATTATAGAAGAGCCTGAGTGGGATAATGACTGGGTACAATGTTCAAATATCAGTGATTCAATGCTGTTCACGATATTCACAGTGCTAGCCACAGCACCACAGCATTATTTCGTCCATCTAGGAATCTTCAAACAACTTCTTAGGTTCCTTTTCAAAATAAACTTGTGGTCAATTATTCTTACAGAAATTAGTGACCAGGATTGTGGTTATAATTAGCGTTGTGCGTTGTATTGTGGAAGGAGGAATTTCGGTGAGGGAGGGAGGGAGGGAGGAAGGGAGAGAATTGAGGTAGCCTCACTGTGTGGCAGCCACTCTTGTTTTGCTCACCATACTAGCTTCGTGGTTCGCTATGGGGAACACACATGTACATGGGTATATATAGTGTGTGTGTGTATATAGTGTAATAACAGCAACAGGAGTATATTGAGAGGAGCTAAGAACATAAGAACAAAGGTAACTGCATAAGGCCTATTGGCCCATACGAGGCGGCTCCCCAATCCCACTCATAAACATGTCCAACCCACGCTTGAAACAATCAAGGGACCCCACCTCCACCACATTACGTGGCAATTGGTTCCACAAGTCGTCAACCCTTGTTACTGAACCAGTATTTGCCCATGTCTTTCCTAAATCTAAACTTATCCAATTTATACTCATTGTTTCGTGTTCTGTCAGGTCTATATGAGACAGCTACTATTGGCCCATACGAGGCAGCTGCTATTGGCCCATATGAGGCAGCTGCTATTGGCCCATACGAGGCAGCTGCTATTAACATAAGAACAAGGTAACTGGAGAAGGCCTATTGGCCCATTCGAGGCGGCTCTTATTTATAACCACCCAATCCCACTCATAAACATGTCCAACCCACGCTTGAAACAATCGAGGGACCCCACCTCCACCACGTTACGCGGTAATTGGTTCCACAAATCAACCACCCTGTTACTGAACCAGTATTTACCCAAGTCTTTCCTAAATCTAAATTTATCCAATTTATACCCATTGTTTCGTGTTCTGTCTTGTGTTGATACTTTTAATACCCTATTAATATCCCCTTTGTTGTGTCCATTCATCCACTTGTAAACCTCTATCATGTCACCCCTAACTCTTTGCCTTTCCAGTGAATGCAAGTTAAGCTTTGTTAATCTTTCTTCATATGAAAGGTTTCTAATTTGGGGAATTAACTTAGTCCTCTTACGTTGGACATGTTCAAGTGAATTTATATCCATTCTATAGTACGGCGACCAAAACTGAACTGCATAATTTTAATGGGGCCTAACCAGAGCAAGATATAGCTGAAGAACCACACCAGGTGTCTTGTTACTAACGCTTCGATTAATAAATCCCAGTGTCCTATTTGCCTTATTACGAACACTCATGCATTGATCCTTTTATTTTAAATTCTTACTAATCATAACTCCCAGATCCGTTTCGCAATCCGACTTCGCAATCTCAACACCATCTAGCTCGTATCTTGTAACTCTCTCATCATTCCATAGCCTCAGAACTTTACCTTTATCAGCATTAAACTGCATCTGCCAATCCTTTGACCATTTCAAAACCCTATTTAGATCAACTTGGAGATAGTGAGTCTTGTTCCGTATTAATTTCCCTGCCGATTGTTGTATCATCGGCAAATTTGCAAATGTTGCTACTCAAACCTGAATCTAAATCATTTATATATATTATAAACCACAGAGGTCCCAGGACAGAGCCTTGAGGCACTCCACTTACAACATTTTCCCACTCTGACTTGACTCCATTTATACTAACTCTGTTTCCTTTGGTATAACCATGCCCTAATCCAGCTTAATATAGCATCCCCAATACCATGAGCCTCTCTTTTTAATCAGTCTTTCATGTGGCACTGTATCAAAAGCTTTGCTTGTTGTCAAGGTACACATCACAATCCTTACTGCCTTAACTATGCTAGAATAAAAAGATAACAAATTTGTTAAACATGAACGGCCATTTATAAAACCATGTTGTGACTCAATTATTAATTTGTTTTTCAAGATGAAGACGAATTTTATTTGCAATTATAGATTCGAGTAACTTTCCCACAATAGACGTTAGGCTAATTGGTCGATAGTTTGACGCAAGTGATCTATCTCCTTTCTTAAAAACTGGTATCACATTAGCAACTTTCCATAACTCAGGCACTCTGCCTGACCCTATTGATTTATTAAATATGGTAGACAGTAGGTCGCAAAGCTCCTCTTTGCATTCTTTAAGCACCCTGGCAAACACTTCATCTGGCCCTGGGGATTTGTTTGGTTTGAGTTTTACTATTTGTTTAATTACATCCTCCCTGGTAACTGCTAAACTAGTCAACCTGTTCTCGTCCCCACCCACATAGACATGTTTGGCTGAAGGCATATTGTTAAGTTGTTTTTTAGTAAATACAGATATAAAATATTTATTAAAAATGCTATTCATCTCTTCATCATTATCTGTTATTTGACCTGTCTCAGTTTTTAATGGACCTATCCTCTCCCTAATCTTTGTCCGGTATAACTGGAAAAACCCTTTAGGATTTGTCTTTGCTTGCTCTGCTATGCGAACTTCATAGTTTGCTTTGCTTTCCTTATCTCTTTTTTAGTATTTCCAACCAGTTGTACGAATTCCTGTTCTAAACTGACTTCCCCATTCTTAATCCTTTTGTACCACAGTCTCTTTTTACCAGAAAAAAACAGAAAACCTCTTTTTACCAGAAAAATTTATACCAGAAATTCTGGTATTTATACCAGAAATTCTGGTATTTATACCAGAAAATCTGGTATTTATACCAGAAAACATGCTAAGGAAACTACTCCAAGCTTGTACTAAAGAGGCACCCTTCTTGAACCCGGATGGGCACATGTATAAGACACACATGTATGTATATGTATATATGTATGTGTGTGTGTGTGTATATATATATATATA